CGAACTACACCGCTCTCGCGCCACTCCTTCGCGCCCTTCGTATCGCTTATGGAATACTTTTCAGGATGGTGAGCGTGAGCGTGAGGAAATAAAATTAGAAAGCTGCGTAGCACGTTTTCATTCCATTCCTGACCGACAGAAACTCTCTCTTGAAAGGTTGATTTCGGAATATTCAACACAAATGACGTTACACTTTTTTGTCGTAAATTCAGCAATTTTCCTTTAGCAAAAACCGGTACATTTTTATAACGCAGCTTTCGACATAAATAACGAGAGATTTGGGGCGGATCTTTGCAATGTCTACCTTCGTGATCAGAAAATAATTGTGCAAATAGTACTCTGAGAGTCTGCACGTGTTGCTAATAAAATGAGGGCGTGCGTGGTGAAACCCGGATTTCTTTCTCACCGGCATATGTACGTATGTATATATGTATGAATGTACTTGACGCGACAGCCCCTGAACCGGGCTCAGATCTACCAGCGACGTCTGCCCTACTCGCGGCTAGGTTTAGGGTTGTGGTGAGCACATAAACATTCGCCAACGCCGTATTCCTCTTTTCTCACCTGTCCTTATTGAGACATGTGTTTGGTTATACATTTGATTTTGATGTTAATTTAACAATTCTTGTTCTAACCATTTCGAACGTTTTACAAAGTATCAGTTATTTAATAGGAATACACATTAACTGTGCATATTCAAGGTCCAATTGAGCAATGAGTATGTTCAGATATGTGTGTGGGATTTAGTCCGTTTGGATGAGCACATACTTTTGCATAATTTCACTGCAATAAATTGCGCATAAGACCAGAGCATTTTCTTGCGAGATTTTCGGGGAAACATTTGGAGTATCAACTCTGAGGCTTAAACATCTAAACGCTTTCTGAAGATAAGCATGTTAAGGTCGTTCACATCAAAACGTTTGAGAAACTGTAATAAAAAATCATTTGAAGCGTTTTGTGTCCACAGCTACAATAACAACTAAACATGGTTCTCTTTCAGATACACATGCAACACGTTTAAAATTATTGGTAGGTGCTTAACAAACCTCCCTCCTTTGAATTAAGAAATGATTAAAAGGTTAAGATAAATCCCTCAATAACCGTAGGGAAGAGTGGAATGAAAGGTTGTGTAGCGGGAGAGAAAACATGCGGAGGAGAAGGGAAGGAAGAGGGTAAGAAGAGGTATGGGAAATGGAGAGGGAGAAGAAGAGGTATGGGAGGGGAGAGGGGTATGAAGTGGTATGGAATGGAGGGGGTAGCAAGAGGTATGGGAGATGAGAGGTCAAAAAGAGATTATGGCAGTGGAGAGGGGGAAGAAGTATGGGAGGGGGAGAGGGAAGCAGAGATATGGGGAGTGTGAGGGGTAAAAGCGATGTTAAGGGAGTGGAGGTTGTTGAACGGTAGAATAATATATGACAAGGGAGAAGAGAGAGGTTTGAGGGAATGGAGAGCGGGAGATGGAATGGAGGGCGAGGGTGAAGAAAGAAGTATAGGGAGGGGAAATGATGGAGGAGGGGTTTGCATGGAAGTCGGAGGGAGATAAGTGAGAGTGTTTTAATTTGCTACGTCGTAAAATTCCCAAAACCCTCGGCCTGTTCAAAGCTCGGCAGTCTGTGAGACACCTCCCAAATCTTACTTGACATTCTGTATTGCACAAGCAGAATACCTGCGTAATGAACATTTTATTCACTGTCGATTCACCCATGAATTTTTTGTCGTAATTTCTTTCTCAAGAATTTTGTACCGTCGTCATTTATCCAAGACGTTTACTATTGGCGTCACGGCTATCTGTGTGGCGGTCCTCAAAGGCGCAGAATATTTTCATGTGAACTGAAGTGTGTGTTTGGCCGAAAACGAACGTTTCTGTTCCATGTCCCCTACTAAAAAGAAACAGGCGTGTTAGCCTAGCGGCTAAAACGCTGCTCTTAAGAACTGGCCCAGTTGCAGCCCTGGTGAGGATGTAGCTGATTAAAAATAAAACACTTTTATTGCGAATAATTACTCAAGAGCAAGATGTTTAGAAAAAATAACATACCACTATGTGATTTGGAGCATTGGGCTCTATATCTTACAAAAGGGAGAACAACATTTTGCAACAACGTTTTCAGAAAATAGTGTAAAGGAAGTTTTTGGAAAAACGCGCTCGATTTGACTCAAAATTACACAAACTGTTTTTTGGAATAAACTTTATGTTTGAAATGATTAAGTTACTATTTAAAATGCACTTTGTGTCAAATATACATCTAGACTCCACAATGAATAACTTAGCAACTTCAATTATTTACCAGTATTAGACAAGGATATCCGTTAAATTTAAATTAGTATAGTTACTCAAGTAGAATACAAAAGTATATTAAAGTTTAATAAGTGAAAATTATTTCCTATATAAACTTGAATTTTTATGTTATCAGCCCAGACTAAGAAGGTAATGAAAGGCCGAAAAGTTGGCATTTTAGAAACTTCATGACCTTCTGTGAAGATATAATAAACTTCGAGGGCCAGAAAGCTAGCATGAGTAAAGAAAAAAAATGTCTCAATATAGCCGAGAAAAAAGTAATAAATAGTACATCTAAAAACCACCTACGTGTATAACATTTGCTGTTGAAAATCTGGATAATTCACGGTTTTGTTGGTGTCCATTCACTCAGAAATTTTGGGCCGTTATGTCATTAGCGACGTTTATCATCATCGTTTGGGTTGTGCTTTTGAGGATTTTATTACTTTGAAGTTAAGATAGACGATTATAATGGATAAAACGGAACTTTCAAATATCGGAAAGTTTCGAAGAACATGATTATTTGTAACTGTACTGTTAATAATAAAATAATAATATCTACCATCATTGTAAAATCAGCAGAGTATGATCAACATTTCTGAACACGAAGTTCGACAGAAATAATTTCAATTGCGTCCAACTTCAACAATTTAAAAATGTTGTTCTAAATTAATGAATTGTTCATTACTTAAATATTATTAAATAAAATGCAAATACCACACACATTATGATATTTATTATTATTATTATTATATTTAATAGGTAATTATTAACAGACAAATTAGCTTACTTGATCCTATGTGGCTAGGCCAAGGCCTTTTAAGCCATTACAATATCCTACATCCTTTCGCGTTCTAATCTATCGAAATTCCTGGTAATTCCACCCCAATGTCTCTCCATCGCATCAAGCCGCGGAAAAGGAGACCATAAGTACGGCTCAGGAAAAAAACCGCTCAAGGGGCAACAACC